AGTTAACAATCGGGGAGGAGAGAATCGCCACCGATGCTCGACAGAATTCGCTCGTTTCGAGAACGTTAACGAAACGAGCAACATCGACGAAATTTTCTTGAACCTGAATGATCGAGCCTGCGAATCGCCGAGCAACAATGTTGGCGAACGCGACGGACGGAATTTTTTTAATTTCCGAGGCAGCAGGTGGCATGGATGCACCTAACTTTTAGCACATAAAGATGATCGTTTGGCTAGAACTCAAGGCGAGGAAGAAGGAAAGGAGGGAAGGAAAAGAGAAGAAGTACAGAAGGATGCGGCGCTGCGTAACAGCTGGCTCAATAATTTCAAGCGGCGCACGGAAGGGACTGTCTTTTGTGGCTTTCAGAGGGCTTTCAAAGTGTATCTCAATGAGCCCTTCGTGCCAGCCGAACTGTAACTAACGGTGCCCTTTAATGAAATTTTTAAATGTAATCGCCGATCGTCAATCCACCAGAATGCCATCGCTAATTAAACAATTTACTTTCCATATTGATCACCCTGTGACATAATCGTATTTCACGTATTATTAAATCGTCCGCGATGCTCGAATTTCCAATTAAAATCGTGACACGCGATAAAGTAGCCTCAACATACCAAGACTACTGCCGGCGTGTCAATGTCGTAATTGAATAAACGAGTAAAACGAGAAAAAAGATAATCACGAGATTTCGTAATGCTGTTTAAAATTCTGACAGCGCGCGATTAAGATTCAGATCGCTTAATCGGCGAATAATCTCGCCGGACGAGACACTCTGTCGTCCGTTCGCATTAAATATACATACTGTTTACCACTCGGCGATTTAGTCGCAGCTGGTCGAAACTGCATATTTGCACAGATTTGCAAATAACGTCAGCCGTATATAGCGTCGATGCCTGATAAAATGAAAAAAAGGAAACAAGCCAGACATAATTAAATATTTCCAGACCAAATTAAATATTTTTAAACAAACGTATGTACGATTCCATGTCAAATTAGGTTATTTCAGAAAACATTTCTACAAAACCAGATGTACGATCAAATTATTCCAAACTATTTTGCGTAATCAAACGTAAATCAATAGCGAATATTATTAAAGTAAAAATAATAAGTAGCTTTTTAAAGAAAATGATATGTAAAAATGTTACGAATATTTTCGAAAATCGAAATCTCTTTTTTCTAAAGTCCTACTCATGATCAGAGGAAATATTAGGAATAGGAAAATAAATATTAAATTTTGGAAATGAAAATTCGGAATAAAGATTAAACAACTAAGTATAAGACATAGTCATATTGGAATTTTCATTTCCAAAATTTAATACTTGTGCGTAGGACCTTATTCTGCACTTCTCTCTTCCTCCCCTTCCTCTACATTCCTCTTTTAAATTTAAAAAGAATGTCGACATCTCAGAATGCGATAAAAGGCAATTCATTCCTGTCTATAATGCAACAGAAAAAACGGGTCTAATTAATTGTAGATTATAACGGGAAATCATTAGTGATCCTTCCATTAAGAGGATATATTCACAGACTTGTCCTTATCTGTCGATCTACCGTGATGGACGAAAAATTCCAATAATTTTCGGGTAATTGTGGATTTTTCCCGTCACTCTCGCCTTTCTTCCTTTCTTCCATTCTCTCCGAGATGCAATTAACTTTTAACCCGTCGTAATTGCCCCGGTCGTTAGCGTGTCGGATATCGTGCGTGCACGCATCGCCACGGCTGAAATTACCTTACATCGGCATAGCGCGCGCCACTCGATTATTATAAAGCGAGGAGCGGTACATGGACGGACGTGCGTTGACTTTCCAGTTTCTTTCCTTTCGTAAGAAAAGAAAAAAAAACGCGAAGGACATGCATACGAGATGTTTTGCCGATAATTATGGGCGTAAATCGCGTGTGTCTTTATCGTAAAATAATTTTGTTTGCGAAAACGCTTCAATTTAAGAATTCGAGAAACGAAACGGTAATTCCCTCTTGAATGCCGCAGAAAGATGCGAGAGAAATGGAGAAACGTCTCTCTTTCCTGCTGTCAAATTTACAAAATAATATTTAAAATATAAATAAAATAAATTTGCAGCGTTGAAACTTTCTAGCTCACGATTGTACAGAAACAAGTACCGTGTAATGATCGTAATGTATTTTTCATGTAACAATATCGTAAGTTGTAATTCCTCTTAATTTCCTGAAGGATTATACAGAAGTATAAAAGATTTTTTGCGTATTCATTAATTCTTGTAAATGCACTTCGTACATTTCTATAAGAAAGATTCAAGAATTATGATACTGAATACATAACATTTATCATTTAGTTTACTGAAAGAGCGAGACAGAATTTTTATAGTTATTGAAATAAACGAGAAATAATATAAAGTCTCATTGCAGATTTATAGATAAATTGCCATATCTATTTTCATTAAATATTGCTTTAGGAAGATGTGAGTGGAGGAGAACGTATTTCGCAATATCGTAAAATGATATTTGTGCTTTAATTCGTATAACTTCGTATAATAGTATGCTATAACGTAAGTTATTAACGTAATAATCAATTAAAATAATAGAGAAACAACATTGTCACGGTGAAATTTTTGAAATAATAACAACACAATTCAATTTTTCGCAGCGTGAAACTGCGAATCGTACTTTTCCATTTTTCGCGATATCGCGCGCCGATTCTTCATTTTAGCGAACGCGGAGACAAAAGCAAACAACGTGTGAATAATGTCAATAAATGACCACGTCAAATAATTCACGCGCGATCGTCGTAATAATTCAACGTTGGTTGGAAAAGCTGCAGTGGAAACTATCACTGCGTTTTCAATCCGAGATACAATAGAATCAGGCATCGTCGATTATTCCAAAATCGAAACAGCTTTTGCACTCTGGAAATGCAACACGTCGATGCATTTTTCAACAACATTATCTACATTTTCGAATATTTGCGTGCACTTTTCAACGACATTATCTATATTTTTATTAATATTCGTGTTTATCTAATTTCTGTTAAAAATTTCGTACTTTTCCGAGCGTGTTTCATCGGATGTGAAAAAATTTTTTTTAAATCATTACGCGGTTATTCCCGGCGATATTCCCGGCGCTCTCGCATCGACCGTCCCGGCCCTCTTGCGTTTTGGCATTCTCGATGTCGCTCGCGCAAAGTCGATTGCGAAAAGAACTTGCGAGAGAACGCGCAAGTTACGACATTAATGGCGCGCCGCGGACGACGATTAGTATGCATTACCTCGATACTTTATCGCGCGAATTATAATGCAATTATAATCCGGAACGCGATAATGATCGCGTACACACCTTCTACCGATTGATGCGGGCTCATTAATATTGATTACATCAATTTCCATCGATCAAACTGATACGGCACGTCGCGTCGCGTCGCGTCGCGCTATGTCTCCATCGTTTCGATCAAAGAGTTTCCGAGTGAGTGAGTATAAT